TCATTAATCCAGATCGACTCTCTGGCTTTCAGCCAGAACAGAGCTGACTGTGACTGACTGGATGTTCTCTATTCATCCTCTGACATGGGAGCTGTGCTCACACTGAGCCTGGTTCTGCTGTAGATTTCTTCCTGTTCAAAGGGAGTTTTTCCTCTCCACTGTCGCCACAAGCATGCTTAGTGTGAGGCATTGCTGAAGAGTCAATCTCTGCTGTCTCTAGCTGCTCATCCAGGAGAAAAGAATCCTGTGAAGTCAATGACTGTTTTTCCTTTAATAGAAACTTTGAACTAACTTAGATAAAAAGCGAACCACTCAAATGTAGGCGGGTTAGCTTTCTTAGCATCACTGGAGGAGAGGCTAATAAAGCTAACCACTCAAATGTAGGCGGGTTAGCTTTCTTAGCATCACTGGAGGAGAGGCTAATAAAGCTAACCACTCAAATGTAGGCGGGTTAGCTTTCTTAGCATCACTGGAGGAGAGGCTAATAAAGCTAACCACTCAAATGTAGGCGGGTTGGCTTTCTTAGCATCACTGGAGGAGAGGCTAATAAAGCTAACCACTCAAATGTAGGCGGGTTAGCTTTCTTAGCATCACTGGAGGAGAGGCTAATAAAGCTAACCACTCAAATGTAGGCGGGTTAGCTTTCTTAGCATCACTGGAGGAGAGGCTAATAAAGCTAACCACTCAAATGTAGGCGGGTTAGCTTTCTTAGCATCACTGGAGGAGAGGCTAATAAAGCTAACCACTCAAATGTAGGCGGGTTAGCTTTCTTAGCATAACTGGAGGAGAGGCTAATAAAGCTAACCACTCAAATGTAGGCGGGTTAGCTTTCTTAGCATCACTGGAGGAGAGGCTAATAAAGCTAACCACTCAAATGTAGGCGGGTTAGCTTTCTTAGCATCACTGGAGGAGAGGCTAATAAAGCTAACCACTCAAATGTAGGCGGGTTAGCTTTCTTAGCATCACTGGAGGAGAGGCTAATAAAGCTAACCACTCAAATGTAGGCGGGTTGGCTTTCTTAGCATCACTGGAGGAGAGGCTAATAAAGCTAACCACTCAAATGTAGGCGGGTTAGCTTTCTTAGCATCACTGGAGGAGAGGCTAATAAAGCTAACCACTCAAATGTAGGCGGGTTAGCTTTCTTAGCATCACTGGAGGAGAGGCTAATAAAGCTAACCACTCAAATGTAGGCGGGTTAGCTTTCTTAGCATCACTGGAGGAGAGGCTAATAAAGCTAACCACTCAAATGTAGGCGGGTTAGCTTTCTTAGCATCACTGGAGGAGAGGCTAATAAAGCTAACCACTCAAATGTAGGCGGGTTAGCTTTCTTAGCATCACTGGAGGAGAGGCTAATAAAGCTAACCACTCGAATGTAGGCGGGTTGGCTTTCTTAGCATCACTGGAGGAGAGGCTAATAAAGCTAACCACTCAAATGTAGGCGGGTTAGCTTTCTTAGCATCACTGGAGGAGAGGCTAATAAAGCTAACCACTCAAATGTAGGCGGGTTAGCTTTCTTAGCATCACTGGAGGAGAGGCTAATAAAGCTAACCACTCAAATGTAGGCGGGTTAGCTTTCTTAGCATCACTGGAGGAGAGGCTAATAAAGCTAACCACTCAAATGTAGGCGGGTTAGCTTTCTTAGCATCACTGGAGGAGAGGCTAATAAAGCTAACCACTCAAATGTAGGCGGGTTAGCTTTCTTAGCATCACTGGAGGAGAGGCTAATAAAGCTAACCACTCAAATGTAGGCGGGTTAGCTTTCTTAGCATCACTGGAGGAGAGGCTAATAAAGCTAACCACTCAAATGTAGGCGGGTTAGCTTTCTTAGCATCACTGGAGGAGAGGCTAATAATGCTAACCACTCAAATGTAGGCGGGTTAGCTTTCTTAGCATCACTGGAGGAGAGGCTAATAAAGCTAACCACTCAAATGTAGGCGGGTTGGCTTTCTTAGCATCACTGGAGGAGAGGCTAATAAAGCTAACCACTCAAATGTAGGCGGGTTAGCTTTCTTAGCATCACTGGAGGAGAGGCTAATAAAGCTAACCACTCAAATGTAGGCGGGTTAGCTTTCTTAGCATCACTGGAGGAGAGGCTAATAAAGCTAACCACTCAAATGTAGGCGGGTTAGCTTTCTTAGCATCACTGGAGGAGAGGCTAATAAAGCTAACCACTCAAATGTAGGCGGGTTAGCTTTCTTAGCATCACTGGAGGTGAGGCTAATAAATCAGACATTAGACCAACAGAAACTATCTGTGGTTCTTTACATAAGAACATTACTAAAAATAAATCATTTCACTTATTCAGTAACCACTAAAAAAACTAATAACACGCAAAAAACACTTAGTGATGAATGTTAGCTTAGCAGTTAGCATATAAAAAAGAATGACAAATGACCCAAAGTATTCTGCAATAAATTAAGACTAAAGTGTATAAAGTAGACAGAATCTTTGATAATAATCATTTATGACAAAGAAAACGATCATTGTTTGCTCCACTCCTGAGACTGAACAAAATTAGTCTGCTGTTAACCACATGAGGCGACGCTACCTTCTGATTGGCTATACTGACTGCCAATCATAGCACACGTTTTAATGGGTTCTAACCTTTCAGTTTAGTTATAGTGAGATTTAAAGCTGTGTTGCTGCGTCACGGTGACTGTTTAGGAAGCCATGACTCGCCTCCATGCTGCCTCGTATCTTCCTTCTTTTACTGTAAAGTGGAAAATGTCTGGGTTTAATGCAATCACTGCAGGATGATCATCAGAATCTGGATTGTTTATGTAATTTAACATCTCTTCTCCGTGAAGATGATTAAAAAACAGAAAATTCTTTTCTCACACTGAAATCACAAGCTCCTCAGCTGTGGCACCATGTTCACATCAGCTGTTTTCTTTGAGGCATGAAGAAGCTTGTGATACACAGTTGGTTGTCTCTGGGTTAGGAAATAGATAGTTGATGTTTTATCTTCTAATTTAACCAAACAGACCATGTGCTGAAGCTGTAGGGCAGTGGGATGATGTCCTGTTTTTATTGATGAACTTAATCAGGAATAAAAGGCACTTTGAAGCAAAATGCTGGAAAACTTTTTAAACCAGTTGCCAAACTGCTGCACTTTAAGAAATGGAAATGTCATGAGAGCTGTACAAAAATAATTTTTTTTTGTATACACTCTGTGTACAAAATGAAAAAAAAAGTTGTCTAAGTAAAACTCACCCAGAGCCATCGCTCTGTGGAACCATCAGCCCACCTGCTCTTAGCAGTAATGATTTTATGGGATTCTATTTGAGATATGATCATTAGCACTCCTCTAACTATCGTTGGTTTAAAATTGGTTCTAACCCTCCATCCTGGAGAGAAATATCAGCTGTGCTGCTGCCATCAACGCCTTTGTTTCTAGATGTTGGAGCTTGGCCTGTTTTCCAGTGTAGTCCTGTTTCTCTGACTGTGACTCACTGGATGTGCTCTCTTTATCCTCTGACATGGGAGCTGGCTCGGAGCTCGTCTGCCTGGCTGTGTGTTTCCTGGACGGGGCCGCCTGTGGAGCTGGTTGACAGTTGCCTTTTGTATCTATGCTTCTTTTTCTATGTCTGCTTCTGTCTCCTTGAACCCCAGTGGGCCTCAGCAGACGGTCGCTCACACTGAGCCTGGTTCTGCTGGGGGTTTCTTCCTGTTTAAAGGGAGTTTTTCCTCTCCACTGTCGCTACAAGCATGCTTAGTGTGAGGGATTGCTGAAGAGTCAATGAGTCGATGCAATCAGCTGGTTTTCCTTAGATAGAAAACTGAATGATCTGGTTGACCTGGATCTATAAATTGACCTGACATGATGTAAATTGGTTCTATAGAAATTTATGGATTATTTTATTAGTTTTTTTAGTACTTATGTTCTAAGCAGGGAGACAGGAAATGGGATTAGAAAATTAGGGAAGACAGCAAAACCCACCAGGGCAGGACTAGAAGCTGTGATGGCCGCATCATGGACCAAACCCGCCATATATCGGTCGCACGCTGACCGGCTTCTTTTTTCCTGGGAAAAGGTGAGGTTTAGATAACTACCTGTCTGAAATATGAAGGGATTATGGAAACCAGTCAGTGATGGCCCAAGCAACTGATGAAACGTGTTCCTGCTGTTCCAAACTGAAGGGCTTAAAACTCCTTCTGTTCAGCAGCACTGAAGAGCAGATGATCCGTCCCGATCTGGCTGGCCAGCAGGGGAGGCGCGGAGGAGCAGAATAAGCAAGTGGCAGAAGTTTCTATTGGTGGCATCTTGGCCGATGACGGCCTCTACTTTTAGCTCATCCAGCCTTGTTTCTGCAGCGCGTTCAACAGAAACCAAAGAGAGGGGGCCTGGGTGTCAGCCAGGGAGGACAATTGGTCGTACTTCATCACAGCCCTGACAGTTTTTAGCGTAGCGTGCCGATGCACTTGAAGAACCCTGGATTAGTTACATTGTGGGGAAAGTGTAAAAGGGGCCAATTTCCCAGAATTCTGGGACGCTCTGAGGCGATCTGCAGGTAAACCTGCCCCCCATCCTCATGTGGGCCAGAATAGTCCCTCCCTTCTTTGGATGGTGGACAGGTTTAGATCTGAGGGGTGGATTGAGTTCAGGTTGGGGTTAGGATTAGGTATGAAGCTGTCAGGGGTCACAGCTAGGCTGTAGAAATGAAGTCAATAGAAAAGCCTGACTAAGATAGCAGGGATGTTTCATTCCTGTTATTGCTGCGGCTGCAGCAGCAGTGACTCATCAGCTGAGCTACGTTCAGGTGTTATCGCCACACGTTTCAGCTCTTAATCAATGACCTTTGATTATTTGGCAGTAAAGTTGGCTGTAAAACTTTCTGTATTCATGTTGATCTCTGAACAGTTGGTCATCAGAGGAAGTCTGATAGTTTTCCTCTTAACTTCTTGAAATATCCACTGGAGATATTTTCACAAGGACAGATTGTGAATCTTTCATGTTTTAAATATTGGTGTGCCTTCTTCCTCTCTCCTTCTCCATCCAGTGCAGCTTTACTGGATAATTGTCTCCATGGTGAAGTGGGCGGAGTCTGATGTCTGCTTCTCCTCTTGTTGACCCTTCCATCATGCCCACCATGGTGTCCCGCCTCCCCCAGTTAAGCTCCCGGTCACAGACAGCTCCAGCAGCTGGCAGAACTCGTCTTACCAACGGGTTCTACCACCACCCCGGACCTGCAGGAGGCGCCATGCCCTCATCGTCTGCAAAGCAGAACGGATTCATCCGGGTTCCCGGTTCATTTCTGACAAAGTGGAGGAAGGAACACGCAGCTGATTGTGATGAGGCTGAGAGCAAGAAAGGAAAAGGTGGCAGCGCCTTTCAGCTGTGTGTGCAGCAGGGGGCGCTACTGTCACAGCAGGATGTCAACAAGCAAATCAGCCCCTCTGCAGCTAAAGGCCGAAGGCAGCTTACATCATCATCCTCATCACCGTCTCCACAGTCCAGCCCCACAGCTCTTCCTGTTCCTAAAAACAGATCTCAAGGTTCCAAACCAAACCCGACCTCATCAGTTCTGTCCAACATGTCGAAGCAAAGCCTAAAGAAAAGTCCAGGATCAAAATCAGAGACCAAGATCAGCGGTTCTCTGAGGCAGGCTCCGACCTTCCCTCGGCCTCCTACAGGTTCTGGATCTCAGTCTAGTTCCCCCCTCCTGAAGAAAGCGGCTGCCAGCCGCTCCCAGTCTAGCGATAACATTGGCGGTCCTGCTGCCATGCGGCTGACTGATCGCGATCGGCTTCGCTCCCAGAGCCTCAACCAGGTCCGCCAGCAGGCGTCTCCAACCTTCACCAGCAAAGCTGCCCAACATGGATCCCCCGCCTCTTCCTCCTCCTCTTATGCTCTTCATAGAGGAAAGGCATTAAAATCACCTGTGAGCAGAGCTGCTCCAGGGAGACTGGGGGTGGCCCCCACCTCCCAGCTGCCACAGTCCGCCCTAAAGGCGCCCCTCTTTCCGAATCCAACGGCCAGACCCATCGGCATCAGCTATAAGCTGTCCCGCCCGTCACTTATCAAGAAGACCTGCCCTCTTCGAGCGACAGGAGCCATCGTGCACAGTGGTGAAAAGGATGTTCACTCAGTCGAGTCGCCGTCATCGACTGAACACAAACCCGGTAAGTCCGTCTTTTCTTTGGGTCAGCTATCGTTGCTGAAGCTGTAGACTCGGGTTTGTCTCTAGATTTCCTTTCCCTGCAGAAAACAGTCCAGAGGCCCCAGAATTGGAGCAGCTTTCAAATGAGATCCTTCCACAGGAAGTTGGATCAGTTGTCGGCGAGATGCTGGAGGACATGTCTCTGTCCTCCACTTCCTCCCTGGACAGGAATGACATTAATCAGGAGTACATGGACGACTTTGACAACCTTGGTGAGACACTAGGAATGTTTTTGGATGTTATAAAAATCAGCAAAGCAGCTCGTTAATAGAGAGGTGGATGTTTTATTGATTAATGGAGAAGATGACATTACATTTCTAATAAACTCAACTTAAATTAAAACCAGTAAACAGTTTTTTCATTATTTTTCATCCTCTTTTGTTTTCAGGAAACGGAGGAGCTGGCGTTTTACAGTTCTCATCCAAAAATGAAGAGGATGACTCAGGACTCGACCAATCATGCACCAGGCTGGACGAAGACCAGAGTGCAATGAGCAGCGTCACCAAGACAACAGGACTGTACTTCCTGGATGATAGTCCTGACTGGACCTCCATCAGAGGTACATTTTAAAGGATGAGCTGTAAGGATCAGCAGAAGCTTCAAGGTCTATCGATCAGAAAAAATCTTTATGTCTTCAGGTGATAAAGGAGAGGAGAGACTTGAGCGACTTGCCCGCCAGCGGAAGCCAAGTCAGTCTGACTATCATGAACAGGTATGTTATTTTTAAATGTTTCTAGAAAATGATTTAGGGAAAAAACGGTTCTGATTCACATGATAACTATTATTAGAAATCAGTCTGATCTGGTTCCTACCAGAGGTGGAACAACTGCACTTCTCCCAAGTGTCCGTCTAGTCAGGTCCCAAGTCTGCTTCTGTGATTCCTGCTGCTTCAGATCCATGGAGTTCCTCCTGCAGGATGATTCCTGCCTGGTCTATTGTCCAAAACTGTGTGTTTAAATGTGTTGATACAAACACAGTGCCCTGAGGAGCTTCTGACTTCCTCACTGATGCATGATTAGGATGTGTAGGGGGCGGAGTCTATAGGATGACTTTGACTAAAAGTACTGAGGATGTTGCTTGTAAATGTTGCAGGAAGGTATGGAGTTGAGGTAGGATCTAACAGGACAGATTATCCTGCTTTATCCAATCCCAGTCCTGCAGATTTAAAATAAGATCTAGAAAACAGATCTTAGTTAATCCATTTTAAATTAACAGAACAAAATTAATTAGCTTCTCCATCTTTGGCTCATTGTGATTATTAATGTTTCTACTGATCTGAGGTGCAGAGAAATGGACCAGTTAGCATTTTCAGTTCAACAATAGTTGTTTGATTTAGATTTGAAATAAGTTGCACATTTTCTATTCTCCATCCTCCTGCTCCTCCTCCTCCTGCTCCTCCTCCTTCTACTCCTCCTCCTTCTCCTCCTCTCTCTCCTCCTCCATCCTCCTGCTCCTCCATCCTCCTTCTCCTCCTCTCTCCATGTCTGTAAATTGTCCATCCATCCTGATTCACCAGTTCACCCAGTTAGCTACATAACTGTCAGAAACACACTAAAAGCTGCTTTAACAGTATAATGTTACACTTCACATATCCCTCTTTTCTTTCACAAAAAAATTATTTGACTTATTTACTTACTACTTACTGTTAGTTTTCTACCCTTTCTCACCGTTAAAGCGGCCACAGGCTGAGCCGTAGTTCTCTGAGCGCACAGGAGCGGTGCGTACCTGATCTGTACCTGAAGCGCCATCTGCACCGGTAGCTCATTTGCACAAGCAAATATCGGGTAGTGGAGGGGGAGGGCAGGAGGACTACAGTGTGCAGGAAGGACAGGGAGAGCGGCTGCTTTGCTGGGTGCAATGGGGTGAAACGCTAAACCCATGCTACTACAATTTGGCCAGTGGGGTGGCCAGTGGGGGGGGACCAGTGGGGTGAGCAGGGCATACCCCAGGGTGGCCGTGGCTTGGACATTAGATCCAGTTCCAACCAGGTTATTTAAAGGGAACGCTGTTTTTTTTCCATTGGTCCTTGATTTTCCGTTATTCCATTCTGTTCTACTCTCCCATCTGAGTTTAGTGTCATTTGGAGCCGTTCTTTTTTTTTTAGAACTTATACTTTTATTATTTTTTACAGAGCAATTGTACAGCCACGCATCAATGGTACATAACACAAAAGTTGAAAATATACAGTTTTCCAAAAAAAAAAAAAAAAATGAACATCTTAGCTTGATGCCTTATAATCACAGCCTCGAATTTGTAGGCACATCATCCTGAGACCCCAGCATAAGCATACACTTTGGATGGAATAGCTCAACACCATATGCAAGAAACAAACTTGTTAAGCTTATTTACATCAACATAGCTTCTGCTGGCCCCCAGCGGAGGCTAAAGGTGGTTTTTTGAAGTCTTAATGAGTAGGTTATCTTTTCCATTGTGTACAACTCTCTTACTTTTTGTACCCATAAATCATAGGAAGGAGGCTCCAACTGCATCCACCTGATTGTAATGCATTTCAGGGCTGCTGTAAAAAAAACATTCAACAGATAAGTTTTGGCCCGTCCTTGCAAACCCTCCGGTATAATACCAAGTACCGCAACAGTAACATCCCTCGGTATAACCTCTGTGAAGATCTGGTTCATAGTCCTGTACACCTCATCCCAAAAGTTTAGTAGTTTGGGACATGACCAGAAAATGTGTGTATGATTGGGGACCGCTGAGCCACAGTTTCTCCAACACAAGCTTGGTACTCTAGGATCCATCTTGGCAACAACATCCGGGGTCCTAAAATATCTACTTATGATTTTCCATTTATATTCCCGCCACGTATTGGAGTTTGTAACTCGATGTGCCTCAGTCCAGACTCCCTCCCATGTTTCATCAGAGATTATTCTGGCCGTCTCTGCCTCCCATCTTTGTTTTGTCCTAGTGGGATCGTTGAGGTTCATTGACAGAAATACACTGTATAACTTTGCTATCAATTTTTTATCTCCTCCCCCTTTCTGAAAATGAATTAGGAGTTTTTCAATTGGTGAGGGATTAAGCACTCTTTCCCAGTCCCTGTGTGCAACTAGAAATGAGCGCAGCTGTAAATATCTAAAGAAATCACTTTTCTGGAGATGAAAATTCCTGCATAGCTCTTCAAATGCCATAAGGTTGTTCTTGTGGATCAACTGATGAAGAAATGTAAGCCCCTGTTCAGCCCATTTAGAAAACGTTTTGTCCAATAAATTGGGTGTGAAGGATTGAATATGTCCAATGCTTGATAAAGTTGATAAGCCTCTTGGTAGCTTGAAAGAAATTCGCACTTTATTCCAAATGTCAAAAGTGGTTTTAGTCCACAATGGCAGCTCCTTTACTGGAATATCTAAAAATGGCAAAACTTTTAATGGTACTGAGCACTTTGCTTGCTCAATGCTCAGCCATCTTGTTTGAGAATCCTGTTGGATCCATGAAATTAAAGGTTTTAACTGAGCTGCCCAGAAATAATATTTTAAAACAGGAAGCTTAAGACCGCCTTCTGTCTTACTTCTTTGTAGTGTTTTATATTTTATGCGAGGGCGCTTGCTTTGCCATATGAATTTTGATATACTTTTATCCAATTCAATGAATGTGGCCCTAGGTATGCTAACCGGTAACATCTGGAACAAATACAGTAATCTAGGTAACAAATTCATGCGAATGGTTTCAATGCGACCGAGGAGGGACAAGGGCAATGCTGACCACCTCTCCAGGTCATTTTTAATTGTAGTCAATATTTTACTGTAATTGACATGATACAAATCTTTTAATGAAAGAGGAATGTTGATGCCTAGGTATTTAATGCCCTCCTTTGGCCACCTAAAGCCGCTCTGTTGTTTGACCTCCAGTGGAATATTGCTATTGATATCTATTGCTTCTGTTTTATCAACATTTATTTTATAACCAGAAAAATTGCCATAAACAGAAATCATTTCCTTCAGACGTTGAATTGAGGATGTCGGATCAGCCATATATAGAAGTACATCATCTGCGTAAAGGGATATTTTATGTTCCTCTGTGCCAATCAAAATCCCTTTCATTTCATCAGTATCTCTAATGAGCTGGGCCAGTGGTTCAATGCTAATTGCAAACAAAAGAGGTGACAGAGGACACCCCTGCCTGCATCCGCGCTCCAATTTGAAACTCGCCGACCTGAAACCATTAACTCTTACAGCCGCTTGTGGGGATGAATATAATGTATGTATCCAATCTATGAATTTCGGCCCAAATTTAAATCTCTTTAATGTTTGAATAAGGTATCTCCATGATACGCGGTCAAAGGCCTTTTGGGCATCTAAAGACACTACAGCTGTCATAGCTTTATTTTCTTTTTGGTGAGAGATAATATTTAATAAACGCCGTAAATGATTTCCATAATGCCTCCCGACAATGAATCCGGTTTGATCTGGATGTATGATTTTATTTATTATGAAATTAAATCGTCTTGCCAGAATACCAGTTAGAATGCGTACGTCCACGTTAAGCATTGATAATGGCCTATATGACCCACAGTCAGTAGGGTCCTTACCTTCTTTATGTAATACAACTATTGTGGCATCAGACCAAGATGGCGCCATTGTTTTAGTTTCTGAAGAAAAGCGATATGCTTCTAATAATAGTGGACTAACGATGTCTATGAAACACTTATAGAATTCATTTATGAAATCATCAGGACCAGGACTTTTGTTATTTTTAAGGGAAGAGACAACATTTTTTATTTCTTCTTCTTGAATTGGCTGATCTAATTGTTTAGCTACAGTATCAGATAATTCTGAAATATTTATATTTTGTAAGTAGTCTGCTATTTTATTCTCATCATCACAAGTGTCCGTGTCTCGGTATAAAACCTTATAAAATTCCGCAAATGTTTCAGCAATATCTTTTGGTTTTAAGATGGATTTATTGCCCGATTTCAGCTTTAAAACTACGTTTGAGGACTGTTGTTTTTTAAGTCGGAAGGCCAAGAGTCTGCTCGCTCTATTTCCATTTTCATAATACTGCTGCTTGGCAAAACGAAGGTTACCTTCTATCTTTTCCGATAGCAAATCTTGGAGCTCTCTCCGTGCGGTGTTCAAATCATTCAGGATCCCGGATGCTCTAGTCTTTTTATGTTGAAGATCCAGATCTTGGATTCTATCTTCTAAGTATTTCTGTTTGGCTGCCTTTTGTCTTTTTTTTGCTGTTGTATAGGAGATGATACTACCTCTTAAATAAGCCTTTGCACAGTCCCACAACATAATAGGAGATGTTTCAGGGGTATTGTTTATGTCCAAATAATTTTTGAGATCTAATTTAACAAAATTGATGAATTCTTGGTCATTAAGAAGGGAGGCATTAAGTCTCCATTGCTTAAATGATGGTGTCAATCCTATATTCCACTCGAGGGTAACGGGTGCATGGTCAGAGATTGTGATGGGCGATATTATGATATCCTCAACTCTGTGTAGTTCGGCCTTGGTGGTAAAAAAGTAATCTATTCGTGAGTAAGATGCATGTCGATTTGAGTAAAATGTAAAATTTCTATTTTTTGGGAATTTGGATCGCCATACATCCACTAATCCAGCTTCCACAGACATATTTTTAAGCATTTTACCCATCTTAGATATGGGTGTCCGAGAGAGTGGTTGTCTATCTAGATTTGACATTACACAATTAAAATCCCCTCCGACGATCAGCAGACCAGAACTGTATTCTGCAATCATATTGAAAACTGACTGAATAAACCCTGGTACATCTTCGTTAGGGGCATATACATTTATAAAGGATACAGCTGTTCCATCAATTATCCCATTTACCAATATAAATCTACCCTCTTTGTCTTTATGTACCAACGTTTCAGTGAAATTTATTTGCCTATGTATTAATATAGCAACACCCCTTTTTCTACCAGAGCAATGTGACGAGTAGTAAACTTTATCAGCCCAAGACCTATTTAATTTTATATGCTCCATATCTGATAGGTGTGTTTCTTGTAACAGTGCTACGTGACATTTTGATTGTCTGAGTTGCAGCAAAACTTTTTTTCTTTTGATTGGACTATGCAAACCCCTCACGTTATAACTTGTTACAGTTAGTGTACTCATAATTAATTTAATTTAAAATATATATGTGATAGTATTGTATTGGAGGCAGAGACGGCCATTTGACTGGTGGGACCAAGCATTTGAATAACATGAACGCTGAAAACCAAGATGATGCAATAAAATAAAAGTAGTGAGGCTTTGCTGTACAAAATTGTCAAGACTAAGATTCAGAAGCTCTGTTTTTTTAAATGCAATAAGATCCTTGGGGAACAGAGGGATCAAAACGCAGAAAACACAATTAAAAAAGTGCATAACTAACATAATGCAAAGTAGTGGGTTTAAGACCCTAGCCACTATAAAAGCAGCAACAAACACAACCGAAAGAGACGGATGTGTGCAAAAACAACAAAAACAAGAGAGATCAAAAATGTGGAAGTCCAGGCTCCCGCAGGGGAAATAAATATATGTACTTTAACTACAGTGTAGAACCTACTGGTGTTATGAATGTAACTAAATTATGACTAATTATGACTTTATAGTATTTAACCAAGTTAGAAGTGACAGTGTTACACACCCTTTAAACATACCAGTTTAGAAATGTGACATTACCAAACACAGTCACAGTTGGTATTTAAGCAGTTTCAGATCCAGTAATTGCAGCAGGAATGGTCTTCCGTATGTAGTCCATGGCCTTCACAGGATCTCGAAACTCCTTACTGTCCTCTTTGTATGTTATTTTGAGTCTTGCTGGATAAAGTAATCCAAAGCGCACATCGCTTCGCCCCCGTAATACTTTCCGTGCATCAGAGAAGGCTGCGCGTGCTTTGGCCACACTGGTGGTGTAATCCGGGAAGATTGCGATTCTTTTACCCTGGTAGGTCAGCGGGGCCTTGTCCCTGGCTCTTCTCAGGATGTCAGCGGCGTCTCCATCATAGTGCAGCTTAGCGATGATCACACGGGGTCTTTCTCTGCTGCCCGGTTTCGTCAGCACAGCTGTTCGGTGTGAGCATTCGACTTTTACATCCCGGTCCATCTGAAGCGCTTCTCTGATAATTTTTGAGACCTCCTTAGGATTGGCGGAGTTGGGATATTCCTCCACCCCAACTATACGAATATTTCCGCGCCTCATCCTCCCCTCCATGTCTTCGCACCTGTCTCGTATCTTAACCAGCTCGCTTTGAAGGTCGGTAACTATAGTCTGCAGTGAGTTCACCTCATCAGACCATGTAGACAGTCCACTTTTCACATCTTCAACGTCTGATTTAATTGAGGTGATTTCTGCACGGGTGGCGGTGGAATTACTAGCAATTTCGGCCCTCACTGCATTGAGATCAGCTCTGAGAGCGGTGAACTCCTCAGACAGAGCGCTTCTCATTTCCTCCCTTATGATTTTGGAGATTTCCCCCCGTAAGGAGGTTAGGATATCGGCTTTCAGCTCTTCACACATACCAGGGCTCTTGGGTTGCGGGTTTTCGTCCTCTAGAGTGCGCAGCTTCGTGGATCTGGTGTTAGCAGTTAGCTTTGGCGTGCTACCATCGTATTTGAATTTGCGAAGTTTATCCGCCATTTATCGAGTAGCGTCCACCGGAACGGAATTCTTTATAGTCCAGGGTCACTATTAAACCAATTTAGGTCACAATTAGTGAGAAGTTGTGGTTTTTTAACCGAAAATGTTGATATGCCTGCAGGAGCTCTGAAATATCCGACTTTACTCCATCTTGGCTCACTAGCGCCCCCCATTTGGAGCCGTTCTGAAGATATTCCATTAGGTTATATCCAGTAACGTCTTCCTATGGGCAACGACTTGAAGGCACAAACTAAACTCTTCATCATTTATTCTTTATGGTACGCCAGCATTCAGAACATGGAGGCCAATCACTGTCCCCCAGACATCCACAGGTATATTTTTTTATATTTATATGTTTTAAAAACAAAGCGGCACGTGTATGACGGCATGCGCACTGGAGTTGTAAAAGGCAGCCCGGGCCACAGGCGGCTACGCTCTACCCCTTCTATTCATTCTAGCTAATCTGAATCGTTCATTTTGAGAACGAGATCATCTGTGGTAGCAGCACTAGACATCTTCCAGGCATGAGAGGAAAACTAGCAGCAGTTCAGCAAACAGGATGAATGAACGGCAGCCGGCGCACGCGGATGACGTCATACACACTCTGCTTTGTTTTTAAAAGATATAAATATATCTCCATCCTGGAGAGAAATATCAGCTGTGCTGCTGCCATCAACACCTTTGTTTCTAGATGTTGGAGCTTGGCCTGTTTTCCAGTGTAGTCCTGTTTCTCTGACTGTGACTAACTGGATGTGCTCTCTTCATCCTCTGACATGGGAGCTGGCTCGGAGCTCGTCTGCCTGGCTGTGTGTTTCCTGGACGGGGCCGCCTGTGGAGCTGGTTGACAGTTGCCTTTTGTATCTATGCTTCTTTTTCTATGTCTGCTTCTGTCTCCTTGAACCCCAGTGCAGCAGATGGCCGCTCACACTGAGCCTGGTTCTGCTGGAGGTTTCTTCCTGTTCAAAGGGAGTTTTTCCTCTCCACTGTCGCTACAAACATGCTTAGTGTGAGGGATTGCTGAAGAGTCAATGAGTCGATGCAATCAGCTGGTTTTCCTTAGATAGAAAACTTTGAATCAATCTGACTGGATGATCTGGTTTATCTGGATCTATAAAGTGACCTGAGATGACATGATGTTAATTGGAGCTATAGAAATAAACTGAACTGAATTGAATATAAAATGATTCTAGATAATGTTGGTAAAGCGCCCCCCCCACACACATACACACCACCACCAACCAGCTCTACAGGTTAGTTCAATTCAACCGAAACAAACCTGAGGTTTTGTTACGCTGCAGGTGGAGTCGGTCCCACCCAAAGCAAAGATAGATGAGCTCATCTGTCATTTGTTTGCAGCAGAAACACACCCAATAGGAAGATGCTGCTTTTCACTCATCCCACTAGGTGGACCCGGCGTCTAGACCTGATGCTTTATGTGGTTCCTGCTCTGAATGCTTTTTAAGATGAATGAAACAGCATGTTGATTTAAAGGAACAATAATAGTCTGTCCACAAAAGCTGATTTTTGCAAACATTTCGCTGTAAATGTGACTCTGAGCTACAGACTATGACTGCTTGTTTGTATGCTTTCAAGTTTCTGTAGTTAGGGCTGGCAACTTCTTTCTCAAGAATTTTAGATAAGAAAGGAAGATTAGATATAGGTCTATAATTGACCAAGTCATCTGGTTCAAGAGACGGTTTCTAGAGTAAAAATAAACACATTTTTATATATTTTTTATTCTGTTTTGACTTTGTGTCTGCCATTGTGTTTTTATGTTTTGTACGGTGACCTTGACTGTCCAGAGAGGCACCTTTGAAATAAAATTTATTATTATTATTATTATTATTATTATTATTAAAGGTTTAATTACAGGTTTAATTACCTTAAAAGCCTTTGGTACATATCCCTGTAACAGAGATAGATTAATCACATCTAGAATGGAGGAGATCAAAGGGAATACCTCCTTAAATAACCTGGTTGGAACTGGATCTAACATCCAAATTGAAGGCTTAGATGAAGACAATAGTTTTGCTAACTCTGAAGGTTCAACTGGATCAAAGCAGTCTGAGCCCGGTCATTCTGTATACGCAGTGTGGATGCTGCCTCACCTTTATTCTGCCCCCTGAAGCTGCTTCCACCCCAGAGCTTTCATCCCCAGTTCTTTTCCTAAAGGCAATCACTGGTTTTTACTTCCTTCTAGATAACTTCTCAATGCAGTAAAAGGCTATAGAACAGGACTTAATATTTAACAACAATTTAATCTTAAGCAGATTGCTGAGTTTACAGCCCCAGGCGCCTAGAATAAGGGCTACAACAGTTCCTTAGAGATTAACAGAGACACACCCTGTGACAGCAGTATATTCACACACAGGTTAAATATCTCTGGTCCAGTAGAAGCAGAACTGCCTTCAATTCAACAGTAGTAAAACCGAGATTCTGCTCATTGGCACTAAATCAACTTTTTCCAAAACCAACAGCTTCACACTTATTATTGACGGCTCCTCCATCTCACCGCCCCCCAGTCCTCCTCCATCCTCATCATCGCTTTAACCTGCAGTGTTGAACCAGGTTGTTGCTTTGCAGCAACTTTTCCCTGTTTCCCCACAAACGACTCTTGTCTTGTTTTTTCGAACTAAGCTAACTCTTCATATCGTCCGTTACTGTTTGGGTTATGTATCTACCATCAAACCTTTAGGTCATTTTCTTGTTAACATGCTTTATCTGAAATGAATGTAGGATCAAAAATATCAGCATTTCAATTCTAAATAGATTTCAGAGCCAAATGGTGTCTGTGGTATCTATATTTTAGCATCGATCTGCAGTACGGTAGGTTTACCTTATATCCCATCACCTCCATTCATCCGATCAATTGATTGTTTGTTTACAAGCTGTGGAAAATGGATAAACTTTATATTTAGAAGTTTAAGGAATCCAATCATTCCTTTGTTTATATCTAAGGTTCTCAGGTAGAGTTGCTTTACAGTTTATTTTTATCTTTTTAAGTCACACAATTCATTTAATCTAATTTGAATTCTTTTGTAAGCTAAAGACATCATAAATGAGATATATGAACCTCAGGATGACCTGAAACTGATTTCCTCCACAGGGCAGCTCCTCTCTCGATCTGTCCCCCTCTGACAGCTGTGGCTCTGGGGGGACCTACATGTGGGACGAGGAAGGACTGGAGCCTTTAGGGGGCAGCGCTACTACAGCCTCCCTCCACACTAACACCACTCAGCACGTCGGGAGCTTTGACTCAGACATCGACAGCGTGGTAAGGACCCTGCAGGTTCGCAGATGACCTTTGACCTCCTGACAGCTCCTCCTTACTCTTCCGTCAGGCTGATGAACTTTAGGGAATATTTGGCTCAGCTATAGTTCCAGTTTCTATTTTATTAAATTCATGAAGGAATTTTTTGCACCACAGGAACCGAAAGTCAGCAACCAAAGACTTAACTCAGGAAAAAGGAGACAGGTAAACATTTTGGAAGAGAAAGATAAATGATGATGCTGCTATCTCTATTATTATCTGAAATAAGACAAAAATGTCTTATTAGGACGATTTTTAGATCCTGATCTATCATTTGTCAGAGTTGCGGCTTGAAAGAACCTTTATCTCCTGCTGTTTGGAAAAAATCAGTTCTCTGGCTCCCCCTGGTGTCTCTTTGTGTGGAATGCAGCCAGAAGATGATAGTAAAGCAAACCTCCTCCTCCTCCTCAGGTCATGCTGACTAAGTAGCTTTAGTCTGTCCTGGTCTGACTCGGTTTAATCGCTCTCTTTGGTCTGAATTGATCCATTTCTTTATTTTCCTGTTCCAAAGATGCACCAGACTCCAACTCAACCTCTGCCAAACGGCTGCTCAGAAAACCGTCTTCTGTAATGACAGCAGTTCTGCCCGTTAGAGATCAGACATTCGCCCCCGTGCGTTTGCCGCACTGCAGCGTGTGCACCATTACCCATAATGGTGGAGGATATATAGCAGTTGTAGGAAATACATTAAAACTTGTCATATTCTTGTTATATTAGGGCCTAATTTATCTTGTTAAACTGAGATCTGGAGCCATTGAGAAAACATGCAGTTTAAGCCAATATTAGTATTATATGGATACAGTTATTTTTTCCTTTCCTCACGTTCAGCTCTGCTATCATAGCTCTGCTTCATCTCTGATCTCTCCTGCTGCTCCACTCTGCATCTCTGGATATTTAAGATGATGGGAAGGGGCGGAGCATTCTAAAATGGAAGGAGAGCAGAACTTCAAAGTGTTTTTGTAAATAACCATAACCTTTTTCTTGTTGCAACAAATGGAGTTGAGTTTTGTTTCATTGGTTTTCTACACATTTTTTCTTTCACAATGTCAACAACTTCCGGTTTGAGCTAAGTGCTTTTATTTTGTCAAGCTTTTGTGTTTCCGGTCCCACGCAACATAGTGTCAGTTAGCTTGTTCTCTCATAAGTACGGCATTAAGTTAAACACGGACCTACGGTATCGCAAAATATAGCCCTGGCAGCCCCTCCGAAGAGGCAAAAGGTGCGTTATTTATTTGTACAATAGTATTTTCCAATGTTTATTTTTTGTACAAGATGAAACATTTAAAATGGTTTAATGAAAAATGATAAGCTGTATAATTGTTATGTGTTTCAGCTCTTATGGTGGTTATATGTGGATTTAAAGATTACAGTTTATGGAAAATTACTCTAAAGGAATTAAAATCCATAAAACCCATCAGTAAAGTTTCATCCTTGATCGGGGGCGGCATGCTACAGTTTTCACTCATGACTTTTTCTCACTGTTTTTATGATCAATTATAATTATTTAATTTCAAACATGCAAAGTTCCACCATCATCATCGATTCCACTGCTCCAGTTAAAGTGAAGGTTGTCTCTGGGAAGATGAAATGAAGAAATGTTCCAGCAGTGAGACACGAAGAGAGTGAAGGAAAGCAGAAAGAATGGACTCCAACTAAACTATGAAATCTATAAAGAGAAACTTTCTTCTCTGAGATTATCAACAAAAACATCAACAATGCTTGCGCCTTATTTGGCACAGTCGACAGGTTAACAAACCCTCCTATCACAGCGGCCGATGAAGTCCACAATGAAAAGGCCTACAATGTTTAAGCTCCTCTTCCTGCTGTCTGGACTTTTTACTCTCAGGGTTTTTTAGAAGGTTTTACCTGTTTTAGAGTGTCTGGATCAGCCGCAGCTAAAGAAACCATCCGCCATGTTGGATATTTCCCCCCCAGCCTTATAAACAGCAATTATCAAACCATTGTTGAAAAAGAAAAGCTTGAAAAGATGAATCCTTCAAATTTATAGACGCATCTCTAACTTTCATCAGTAAGATTATTGAAAAAAGTTGTTTCAACAGTTAAATGCTTTCTTAACATTGACCAATTGTTTTAATGTCTACCAGTCAGGTTTCCATAGCAACCCCAGTACAGAGACTGCCCTGATTAAGCTGTTCAGTGACATCCGTATTAACTCAGACTCTGGAATAACCACAGTGCTGGTGTTATTGGATCCCAGTGCAGAGTTAAGTTCTGTTGATCGGTGGATTTTATTATACTATTATTTTATTTCTGGTTCAGCACTGGACTGGTTTGAATCCTACCTTAAGGACTTCTATGTGTAAATAGGGAACATTAAATCAGAGACCATAAAAATCCCATGTGGGGTTCGTCCATTCTGAGGATGCAACATCAACATGCCCCCCTTGGCTCAGATTCTATCAAACAACCAGATCAGTTAGCATAACTATGCAGACGACACACAGCTTTACATCCCGATGTCACCAGGTGACTATGAACCCATCAGAGCGTTGATTAGATGCTGAGAACAGATCAGTATGTAGATGCACCATATGAATAAAAACCAAACTGAGGTAATAATCTTTGGACCAAAGGAGCAGAGACATCATGATGGACTGAAACCTGAACCTTCAGAGGCTCACAAAGGTAGTTTTGTAAAGTTTTCAGACAGTAAATGAGCAGCATCTTAGCAGTAAAATGAAAATGTCCTTTTCATAAATTTCACCAGTGATCAAATGTAAACAACGAAGTCAGCCTTAAATCACCTAAAGAACATCTGCAGCATCGAATGCCTTAATGTCCACCAAGATCTAGAAAACTCATTCATGCATTTATCTTTAGTAGAACTGATCACTGCAGCAGTGTCTTCATAGGTTGGTGTCCTCACTAGAACTATAGAAAGTAGATCAGACAGCTGATCCAGACGCTGCTGCCTGCGTCCTCACTAGAACTATAGAAAGTAGATCAGACGGCTGATCCAGACGCTGCTGCCTGCGTCCTCACTAGAACTATAGAAAGTAGATCAGACAGCTGATCCAGACGCTGCTGCCTGCGTCCTCACTAGAACTATAGAAAGTAGATCAGACGGCTGATCCAGGCGCTGCTGCCTGCGTCCTCACTAGAACTATAGAAAGTAGATCAGACGGCTGATCCAGACGCTGCTGCCTGCGTCCTCACTAGAACTATAGAAAGTAGATCAGACGGCTGATCCAGACGCTGCTGCCTGCGTCCTCACTAGAACTATAGAAAGTAGATCAGACAGCTGATCCAGAGCTGCTGCCTGCGTCCTCACTAGAACTATAGAAAGTAGATCAGACAGCTGATCCAGACGCCGCTGCCTGCGTCCTCACTAGAACTATAGAAAGTAGATCAGACAGCTGATCCAGACGCTGCTGCCTGCGTCCTCACTAGAACTATAGAAAGTAGATCAGACAGCTGATCCAGACGCTGCTGCCTGCGTCCTCACTAGAACTATAGAAAGTAGATCAGACAGCTGATCCAGACGCCGCCGCCTGCGTCCTCACTAGAACTATAGAGAGTAGATCAGACAGCTGATCAGACCCTGCTGCCTGCGTCCTCACTAGAACTATAGAAAGTAGATCAGACAGCTGATCCAGACGCCGCTGCCTGCGTCCTCACTAGAACTATAGAAAGTAGATCAGACAGCTGATCCAGACGCCGCCGCCTGCGTCCTCACTAGAACTATAGAAAGTAGATCAGACAGCTGATCCAGACGCTGCTGCCTGCGTCCTCACTAGAACTATAGAAAGTAGATCAGACAGCTGATCCAGACGCTGCTGCCTGCGTCCTCACTAGAACTATAGAAAGTAGATCAGACAGCTGATCCAGACGCCGCCGCCTGCGTCCTCACTAGAACTATAGAGAGTAGATCAGACAGCTGATCAGACCCTGCTGCCTGCGTCCTCACTAGAACTATAGAAAGTAGATCAGACAGCTGATCCAGACGCCGCTGCCTGCGTCCTCACTAGAACTATAGAAAGTAGATCAGACAGCTGATCCAGACGCCGCCGCCTGCGTCCTCACTAGAACTATAGAAAGTAGATCAGATAGCTGATCCAGACGCCGCTGCCTGCGTCCTCACTAGAACTATAGAAAGTAGATCAGACAGCTGATCCAGACGCCGCTGCCTGCGTCCTCACTAGAACTATAGAAAGTAGATCAGACAGCTGATCCAGACGCTGCTGCCTGCGTCCTCACTAGAACTATAGAAAGTAGATCACATCAGCCCGCCGGGCTGCGTTACTTTGAAAATCGATTTTTCGCCATCCACCTTGGTTTTTTTTACTTCTGGACGTGCCTCACTCAGCAGCGGAGTACCACAGGGCTCCATTCTGGGCCTCTTATTGTTATCAATGTATATGCTAACCCTTGGTTACATTTTTAGAGAATATAAAATTTCTTTTCACTGCTTTGCAGACGACCTGCAAAGTTGTCTGCCTTTGCAACATCCTTCCATCGAAATTAAAAAGGTCCAGTCTCGTTGCGCTTTATAATGTTTGGTACAGCACTATGGGCAGATGGCTCTGTCTTTATATAAATGTTTCCTGATTAATGAATGAATTTTTGTCCCCAGGACCTTTTGAACAACCTAGACTCCTGTGATCTGGCTGATGATGACCTGATGCTGGATGCAGACTTCCCAGAGGACTCCTCTCTGCACAGCGGTGCGTGCAATGATCCCCATCACGTCCCACTGGAATGCCAGAACAAGTGCTTGCATGTGCTGAAAATGGGATTCATGATGCTGATGATGTGAACCTTGCAGATGGAGACGGACTGTCCAGCATGGCTCAGTGGAGACGGAGGCAGCTGTGTTGGGGAGCTCCGGACTATGAGAGCGAGAGGTGAGGAGAAAACCTGCTCATCTGCAGCTGAATCAAACCAGCTGGAAATTCCCAGCAGATCCTAGAAGTCCGATTCTGATGCATTCCTTCGTCATGAATCCTTTCCCATTGGAGATCCTTCCCGTTTGTTTAAAGCTGATATGTGTTGAGCTTTCATGAACTTGGCATCATTACGGGTCATTTTAGAGTTATGAATATTAGTTTATAAATGCTGGTCTGATGGGCACCGACAGATCATTTGACAAGCAGAAACCTTCAGGAAGGGAGAAAACCTCTGCATGTGCAGCATATTAGACATGTCAGTTCATCAACAGCTCTGACTTATTTTAAGGCTGCTTTCCACCCCAGACACAGTTCTAAAAGCAAATCCAGGACTCTGCAGCCCTAGCTGTACTTTTAGCAGTGGCTGTAGGCCGATTTTGAAGGCGGATGCTAAGCTGCTGCAGAGAAGCCTCATTTCTGGATGTTTTGAACTTCTAACTTTTAGGTTTTGTTTGATCTTCTGTCCACAGTGATGTTCAGAGCTACAAACACTGTCAGTATCCTGATACCAAGGAGGAAAAAATCAGGTACTGTGATCTCATCCTGTCCTACGTCTCTGTTACGCTGGAGTTCCAGCATTTCCTGACATGATGAGTTCATGTTGATTTGCAGCATCAGAGGCTAATCTGGCTCTTCTCTGTAGGTCAGCCTGCTGCTCTCCTGCTGCTCACACTCTGGGTCTGGATGTGGAGACACTCGCCGAGGATTGTTCTGCAGTCCGGTCACAGCTGGAGTTCCTGCAGAGCTTCCTGCTGCAGGTTGGTGGGAAGGGGGGTCATAATCACGTTAACTTCTCCTTTTACATTATTGAACATGAGATGAGCTTTTGCTGAACTTTTAACCCAAGAACAGACCCGGTGGGGTCCAGTCATAGGTCCTCATAAGAACACACAGATTTCTGTCAGCTGTATGAGTAGGAAGCCTCATGATGGGGGACATTTACTGCAGACTGCGTTGCTAATGGGACACTATAGCTCCAATTAACATCAGATCATCTTGGGTCTCTTTCTAGTTCTAGATCAACCAGTCAGATTAAAGGTTCAAAGATTTCTATCTAAGGAAAACCAGCTGATTACATCCAGTCATGGACTTTGCAGGATGCGCAGTTAGAGACGGCAAATAAGGAATGTGCAGAAATTGGATCAGGGAAATTAAGGGTTAAATGTACAAAAGAGTTGTAGGTATTAACTGTTTTGGGAGTAATCAGTAAGTCAGACTGGAAGATTGCTGCTACTCCTCCTCCTCGCCCAGAACTTCTGGATATGTGAAAATTTAAATAGCTTGAAGGAGTTGCCTCATTTATGCTCACATAATCCTCTTGCTGCAGCCAGGTTTCTGTAAGGCAACATAAGTCAATGTGATTATCACAAATCAAGTCATTAACTATCATACTTTTAGAGGAAAGAGATCTTATGTTAAATAAACCATTGGAGTTATTTTTACTTTATTATATTATCATGATTTGCTCCTTTGGGAATGTTTTTTATTTTAATAGATTTTGGTCGTGGGCAAGACACTGTCTGGTTGGAGTAAAGAGTGGGTAACAATAGAGAAGCTGCAGAGAGGTCTGTTAAACTAGGACTCAGCTTCCTGGTCTGCACCCTGGGGGGTCAGGGTTTTGGAGGAGTAATAAATGTGGCCAGATTCCTAGAAAGAAGTGTTGCACCATCCAGAGTGGGATGGATGCCGTCTCTCGGAATCAGACCAGGCTTTCCCCAAAAGTATTGCCAATTTTTAATGTAGCCCACGTTGTTTTCAGGACACCACCTAGACAACCAGCGGTTGAATGATGACATGCGGCTAAACATGTCATCACTGGTCAGATCAGGGAGGGGACCAGAGAAAATTATGGAGTCCCACATTGGCAAACTCACACAATGTATCAACACTAGTTTTAGTGACCTCCGATCAGCGTAACAACCCAGTTGCCCCAATCGGTTCCACAGACAGGAAGCAAAGGTGACAACAAATATAAAAGTGATGAATCAAGACTGTTGTAAAGTTATGTTCTCATATCATTATTTTTCTTTACTTTGCTGATTAGCTCTTTGTCTCTGACTCATTGATACCTTGATTTGGACATTTTTTAACCTGTTTGTGTCCTTCGGTGTTCAGGACAACCACTTGGATGACGACACGCTGACCACAGACACTCTGAGTCCAGACACAACTGACTCGTCCCCTGTTTCAAACTTGCAGGTCAGCAAGTTCAGCCTTATGAAGCTCCTGTATTATTACTGATGGCCTACGTTTCCCATAATCCTCTCCTCTGTGATCTGTCTGTAAGTGCAGGAGCTTCTGCTGGAGGTACAGCTGCTCCGGGAGGAGCTGAGGAGCCGAGACCGAACCATTGCACAGCTAACTATGCAGTTGGTCAGTTAGATGCTTTATTGTTTGCTGTAGTTTTTTTTGGCTTATTTGTCTGTGGAATCCTGTAACCCGCTGTAAGCTGTAACTTACTGAGGGTCGTATGTATACACTCACCGGCCACTTTATTAGGTACCCCATGCTAGTAACGGGTTGGACCCCCTTTTGCCTTCAGAACTGCCTCAAATCTTCGTGGCATAGATTCAACAAGGCGCTGGAAGCATTCCTCAGGGAGTTTGGTCCATATTGACATGATGGCATCACACAGTTGCCGCAGATTTGTCGGCTGCACATCAATGATGCGAATCTCCCGTTCCACCACATCCCAAAGATGCTCTATTGGATTGAGATCGGGTGACTGTGGAGGCCATTTGAGTACAGTGAACTCATTGTCATGTTCAAGAAACCAGTCTGAGATGATTCCAGCTTTATGACATGGCGCATTATCCTGCTGAAAGTAGCCATCAGAAGTTGGGTACATTGTGGTCATAAAGGGATGGACATGGTCAGCAACAATACTCAGGTAGGCTGCGGCGTTGAAACGATGCTCAATTGGTACCAAGGGGCCCAAAGAGTGCCAAGAAAATATTCCCCACAGCATGACACCACCACCACCAGCCTGAACCGTTGATACAAGGCAGGATGGATCCATGCTTTCATGTTGTAGACGCCAAATTCTGACCCTACCATCCGAATGTCGCAGCAGAAATCGAGACTCATCAGACCAGGCAACGTTTTTCCAATCTTCTATTGTCCAATTTCCATGAGCTTGTGCAAATTGTAGCCTCAGTTTTCTGTTCTTAGCTGAAAGGAGTGGCACCCGGTGTGGTCTTCTGCTGCTGTAGCCCATCTGCCTCAAAGTTCCACGTACTGTGCGTTCAGAGATGCTCTTCTGCCCACCTTGGTTGTAACGGGTGGTTATTTGAGTCACTGTTGCCCTTCTATCAGCTCCAACCAGTCTGGCCATTCTCCTCTGACCTCTGGCATCAACAAGGCATTTCCGCCCGCAGAACTGCCGCTCACTGGATGTTTTTTCTTTTTCGGACCATTCTCTGTAAACCCTAGAGATGGTTGTGCGTGAAAATCCCAGTAGATCAGCAGTTTCTGAAATACTCAGACCAGCCCTTCTGGCACCAACAATCATGCCACGTTCAAAGTCACTCAAATCACCTTTCTTCCCCATACTGATGCTCGCTTTGAACTGCAGGAGATTGTCTTGACCATGTCTACATGCCTAAATGCACTGAATTGCCGCCATGTGATTGGCTGCTTAGAAATTAAGTGTAAACGAGCAGTTGGACAGGTGTACCTAATAAAGTGGCCGGTGAGTGTAGTTCTGACCCTGAGTGGCTGAGAGAAAATCAACCAATTATCAACTAGATCTTATTTCTGCTCCTTCTTCTAGTTTTGGGGGGTTAGTTAAAAAGCTTCATGAACCTAAGACACCAATAATATTAAATGTTATGGGCTGTTCCTGTTTTCTTTTTGTGTGCAGACTGTTCCCACCCTGACCACTAGGTGTCAGTGTCAGGAGACACCTGAGAGGATGGAGCAGCAAACGCAGACCGGTGTGTGTGAAAGCGAGTGTGTGGCTTCGCAGACGCCATGGAGAGAATACATTGTGAGACCCCACACACACACACACACACACACACATGTTGTGTCACACTATCCTTGAGGGGACCTTCCAGTGACTTCCATTCATTTCTCACTAATGAATGGCCCAACTGTGACACTTTCCCAAACCCCAACTATTAGCAACACATGTCTAACCCTAAACCTAACCTAAACTCAATTCACAGCTTAGTCCTACAAAAGATGTTTTGTGGGATCTTGTTTTTAGAAACGCGTCCTTCCAGCAGTTGCAGTATCTCATCTATTTGTGAATTTCTGATCTGAGTTATTTTCAGGTAGAAACACATATTTCTGTACATCAGGCTCCTTCGTAACCTTTAGCTACTTCACTGAGACTTTCTGCTGCTGGTTTCCTGTCTTTCATTCAGAAGCAGACTTCTGGAGAGAACATCTGCTTCTTTCTTCTCTCTCTGTCACAGGTCTTTCCTCCTGTCCCTTTCCTCTCCCCACCCTGGCAGTACCAGCGCTCCAGGCCTATCAGGGAGAGGCCCAAGCCAAGCATCCCCCCCCACCTTGCTAGAAAGAGTGAGTCTCACAAATCTGTGACTCCTGCACAAGAGTCATCCAGGTTTTCATGTCTTCAGACATGACTGTAATCTATGTAATGGTTTAGTTTAGACAGATATAGCTGGGTATCATCAGCATAACAGTGGAAATTAATCCCATGCTGTCTAAGAATTCTACCAATTGGGAGCATGTATAAAGTAAAGAGAATTGGTCCTAGCACTGATCCCTGTGGTACTCCACAGGTAACCTTTGAGCGTGTTGAAGATCTATCATTAACATGAACAAACTGAAATCGATCAGATAGATAAGATTTAAACCAGTCTAGAGCTGTTCCTTTAATTCCAAAAAAAATATTCAAGTCTTTCTAAAAGAATATTATGGTCAACTGTATCAAATGCAGCACTGAGATCCAACAGGACGAGCACAGATACAAGTCCATTATCTGAGGCCATGAGAATATCATTAGTGACTTTCACCAGAGCTGTTTCAGTGCTATGATGAGCTCTAAAGCCAGACTGAAACTCTTCAAAAAGTTCATTATGGTGGAAGTGATCGCACACCATCACTTTTGGAAGATTGGATATAGGTCTATAATTGACCAAGTCATCTGGGTCAAGAGACGGTTTCTTAAGTAAAGGTTTCACTAACTACAGGAAACCTGATGAAGTGCAGAAATTCCCACTTATCCCTGATTTCTTTCCAAGCCTCTATGATCTCCTTCAGCTTCCTGGTCCTCTTTCTGTGCAGTGGCCTTAAAGGAATAGTACACCCAAAACATGATTAGCCTTCATTTTCTACTCACCTCCATGCTGAACAACACTCTGGAGTACTTTTTTGATATCTCAAATGCATCTGGAGATCTGGGAGGCTTCTTGCTGTCTGCTGACATTCAAATAATGGAGGTCCATGGCGCCCGAGACAGAAAGGTCCATAAAAGTCCACAAAAACGTGTCAATATTCCTCCATACTGCTCGTCCAATGTAATCCAAGTGTCCTGAGTGGGTAGCATCCAGAATTTACTCGAAACGAAGTAATTTAGAATGTTTTTAGAGCATAAACAGTAGTGTATAGGATTTCCTAATAGCGCCCCCATGCGCGCTCACGATTCTACGGAAGCCGGCAGACCAAACCGGAAGGAAGTGCGCATTCAGCGTCTGGTCTGCCGATAATGCAAGCGTAGAAGAAGAAATGTGCTGTTTACCTGTGCAAAGAAAGAAACAACGAAAGAAAAATGTCTGAGGACTTCAGTGTTGAGGAAGAGCATGAGTTCTTTGCCGAGCTGAATGCGCTGGTTTGGTCTGCCGGCTTCCGTAGAATCGTGAGCGCGCATGGGGGCGCTATTAGGAAATCCTATACACTACTGTTTAGGCTCTAAAACGTTCTAAATGACTTCGTTTCGAGTAAATTCTGGATGCTACCCACTCAGGACACTTGGATTACATTGGACGAGCAGTATGGAGGAATATTGACACGTTTTTGTGGACTTTTGTGGACCTTTCTGTCTCGGGCGCCATAGACCTCCATTATTTGAATGTCAGCAGACAGCAAGAAGTCTCCCAGATCTCCAGATGCATTTGAGATATCAAAAAAGTACTCCAGAGTGTTGTTCAGCATGGAGGTGAGTAGAAAATGAAGGCTAATCATGTTTTGGGTGTACTATTCCTTTAAGTTTTCGGAAGGAGGTTTCCTCTGATGATAACCAGGATCTAAATGTAGGAACTGAGGGATGCATTATCAGACTAACAGCATTTCTCTGAATCTTCTCTCTAATTCTGACCTTTTATAAAAAGTTGAAGCTGCTCTGAGGTCAGGCTGTTCATCCTCTGCCTGAATGATTGATGCTCCAAAAACCCGATGCTGAAAGAAAACATTCCACTGTAACAAAAGGGAAGAATCAATCTGAAGACCTTCAGACATTTTGAAGAATGTTCTCCTAATTCAGGAAACCTCTTCTGTCAATCAAAATGTTGTAAAATGCGTGTTTTCTGTTTTCCTCTAATTGTTCCTCCTCCTGTCCTCTTCTGTGTTTCTTCTTCACGCTTCCGTTCAGGAGTGGAAGATCTGGTGCTTTACTTCAGTGACACGGCGTGGTACGGTAGCTCCTCTCCTCCATCTCACTGTTTCCTTAGTTCTTTTATACTGGTTCCCATCAGCAGATGGGGACCAGCGCTCTCCAGTAATCGGGTCAAAGGTGGCTTCAACTCTGAGGATTATTTAATCTGAACTGGTTGATTCAGGTTCTTCTCCTGGGAATCTAGTCTGATTTCTGGGAATCGTTTTTGATTTTGTCAGAACTTTTCAGATCTTTTTAGGAATTTGCTCATCGGGTGTTTCACTTGTTTGTCCTGTTTCCATCAAGGAGCTGATAATCCGTCCAATCCAATTGTTCCTAGAATGGCAGAAGGAGCAAAAAAGTGTCTCCGGTTTAAACTGGAGATTAGCATCGACTCGCGTCTTTGAACTTCTCTTAACTCTACAGATGAATGATGAACACGTCGGTCATCATACCGGAGATAACATGGATATATTCTGTCCGTCCATCAAAGTCCTAAAACATAATGATCAAATTCCCCGGGTCAGTAGCGACTGTCCAATTAGCATCAAACATTTCTAGCTAGGGTTAGGTTATAGCTTCTTTTGGGGAAGAGGCTTCAATCTTTGAACCCTCCATGAACCCTTCCTCTTCCTCCTCGTCTTCTCATGAACCTGTTGGTTACCAGCTAAGGACTGTAGAGTCTGGGATGATGCTGGTGGGTTTTGAATTTGCTAAACTTGATTTAAATGAGGTTTGAATTTTTTTTTAAATGGTACCATTAGATAAACAGTTTGAGCCTGAAGTCCTTCAGAGTAGAACCCTCCTCTGTCCTCCGTGTCTCGTGTCTTAGGTGAGTGTTGGTCTGGTGGTCAGAGCAGCGCTTTGTGCTCTGAGAAGGTTGCAGTACCCGGTTTGATCCCCACATCCTCCACTCTGGCTCCCTGAGCAAGACCCCTAACCCCTCGCTGCTCCCCAGGAGCCACACAATGGCTGCCCACTGCTCCCCAAGGGGAGGGGTTAAATGCAGAGAGGAAATTTCTCCAATGTGAGATCAATAAAGTTCAATTATTATTGATGATTAATATATCCATCCAATTGCACCATAAACAGGGTTTTTGGTGTCATTATCTGTGTCTGTGAGAAACTAGCTCTGCAGAACTCCATTAAAATCATGTGGAAGCTCCTTGAGGAACCAGACAAGACAACTATTGTTGATGATGCATCATGGAGGAACATCAGTGCTCTACCTGTCCTCCTGGGGTAGACGGCTCTCTGTCTCCATCAGGAAGAACCTAGAGAGACTGGAGGCTCATATAACTCCATCTCACCATTTCTGCTCCTTCTCTTCCTTTTTAATGAGGATCAACAATCAGCAGTTCCTCTTCAGAACACTAGATGTCAGTGTTGGCCAGTCAATGTTCTGGTTTTTGCTACGGCGCTTCAGCAGGTTATCCTGAGACGTAGAAAACTATCTATTGCTATTTATTGTCATTTTGTTTCCACAGAGTGTAAACAAAACAAAAGGACATTTCGTGTAGTACAGCTTTAATGACATTTCCATTTCCATAGTGCAGGAGTGATCAAATGTAAACAGTGTGAGAGAAGAAACATGGTGCAAAAAAATGAATGGATATGGAAGTTCAGAGCATTATTATTTATGGTGCAGATATGGTGGGGAAGAAGCTGCTGCAGAACCTGCTGGTCCTGCATTGAATGCTGGGAAGCCTCTTCCCAGAGGGCAGCAGGGAGAACAGTCCATGGTGGGGGGGTGAGGGGTCATTGATGATGTCACGGGCTCGGGACACGCAGCGCTGGGATGAAATGTCTTTAATGGAGGGAAGAGGAGCCCCCATGATCCTCTCTGCTGTTCTCACCTTCTTCCAGTCTGAGGCGCTGCAGCCTCCACACCACACAGTGAGACAGCTGCTCAGAATGCTCTCTATGGTGCTTCTGGAGAAGGTGGGGAGGATGGGGGGGCAGGAAGTCCAAGCGCTTCTGGGCCCTTTGGACCAGTGAGGTGGTGTTTCCAGTCCAGGTGAGGGTGTCTGTGATGAATGTGGTGCTGCTGACCACCTCTACAGCTGAGCTGTTGATGAGCAGTGGAGCGTGGTTAGGCCGCTTCTTCCTGAAGTCCACCATGATCTCCTTGGTCTTCGTCTTTGTTATCCTGGTGATAACATCCAGATGTTTGCTGCTGTTTACTGTTGGTGTGAACGTGCAGCGGATCTATCATCTTTCTTTACTGATTCATATTTGAACAAATGCTTCTTTTAGAGATACTTCTGTCTGAAATGATTGTAGTCTGTTTCCATATCTCTGGTTTGATGACTGGAAAAGTCTGGAATCGTATTCCAAGATTTTCCAGGTATCGGTGAATCTTTAATTAAAAAAGAAGAGCGTTCCGAGGAAAACTCTTTGTTTCTGATGCTGGTCCAGTTAAAACCATGTTCGGTTTCCAACCAGTTTTCAGGATGTTGGAAACCAGTTTGCTGCAGACGCACCTTTTGTTTGTTTCCTTCTGATGCGGAGCTTCTGCTCGCTGAATAAATCAGAGAGGAAACGGCTCTCTACAGACAGACCAGTCAAACTGCTTTGGCTCCTCCAACATCTGATCAGTGATGATCAAAGCGTTGGTTTGCTCGGGTGCTAATGGGGAACGGGTTCAGAGCTTTTAGGTCAGAACATTTTCAGCAGCTGCTGAAAACCTAAAACAGTTTTTTGTTTTTCTTGTTTTCAGTCACAAGTACTTCACTCCTCTAAGCAGGAAGAGCCGGAACCACTAAGGAACCCTGTAGCTCCTTCCAGCGACCCCGCCCCCCCTGAAACGCTTGCCGATGGGCTCCCTCCGTCCCAGAGGTCCATAAACGCCCCCGTCTTCACCCCAAGAGCAGCAGATGGTGGAAACCGGCAGAGGAGAGAGATGAAAACCCTGCAGCCCTCCAAGCTCCGCCTCTTCCTGTCTCACAGCTCCACGCGGTCAGAAGAAGGCGGGTCTTCAGGGCATAAGCTTAAAATCTTCAGTTCTGGATCATCTCGTCTCCCCAAACCAAAGAGCCACTGAGGCTCCGCCCACTGAGCCCCTCCCCCCCCGTAAGTCTGAGCTGCTCACTGATGGGAAGATGTTGAACTTTGAACTGCTGCTCCCACTTCCTGGTCCCTCTGATCCGTGAGCCTTTGCCTGCCGTCCATCTTCTTCTCTGCAGACCTGAGGAAGTCCGATCTGCTCTTCATGGAGATGCTCCCTCAGGGTTGAGAGGGGTCAAAGGTTAACCTTTATCACTGAAACCTTTTTCTTGTATGACCATACAGAAAAATCTTAGAAATCCTTTGGAAGAAGAACTTCCCACTTCATTTTATCAGCTGTAGACCTAAATTGGAGAAACTTCCAGGAGTTTCTAACATCTATCAGCGATGACCTGCAGCTCCACATTCAATATGCAACAAAGATGGAGAACAGAAAAGTTGGATGATGGAAAAAAAGTTCAGCTTCAGGGTGAGGGTCAGCTTCAGGGTCAGCTTCAAGGTTAGGGTCAGCTTCAGGGTCAGGGTCAGCTTCAAGGTTAGGGTCAACTTCAGGGTCAGCTTCAGGGTTAGGGTCAGCTTCAGGGTGAGGGTCAGCTTCAGGGTCAGGGTCAGCTTCAAGGTTAGGGTCAGCTTCAGGGTCAGCTTCAGGGCTAGGGTCAGCTTCAGGGTCAGCTTCAGGGTGAGAGTCAGGGTCAGCTTCAAGGTTAGGGTCAGCTTCAAGGTTAGGGTCAGCTTCAAGGTTAGGGTCAGCTTCAGGGTTAGGGTCAGCTTCAGGGTCAGCTTCAGGGCTAGGGTCAGCTTCAGGGTCAGGGTCAGCTTCAGGGTCAGGGTCAGCTTCAAGGTTAGGGTCAGCTTCAGGGTCAGCTTCAGGGCTAGGGTCAGCTTCAGGGTCAGCTTCAGGGCTAGGGTCAGCTTCAAGGTTAGGGTCAGCTTCAGGGTCAGCTTCAGGGCTAGGGTCAGCTTCAGGGTCAGCTTCAGGGCTAGGGTCAGCTTCAGGGTCAGCTTCAGGGTCAGGGTCAGCTTCAGGGTCAGGGTCAGCTTCAAGGTTAGGGTCAGCTTCAGGGTCAGCTTCAGGGCTAGGGTCAGCTTCAGGGTCAGCTTTAGGGTTAGGGTCAGCTTCAGGGTCAGCTTCAGGGTGAGGGTCAGCTTCAGGGTCAGCTTCAAGGTTAGGGTCAGCTTCAGGGTGAGGGTCAGCTTCAGGGTCAGGGTCAGCTTCAAGGTTAGGGTCAGTTTCAGGGTCAGCTTCAAGGTTAGGGTCAGCTTCAGGGTTAGGGTCAGCTTCAGGGTTAGGGTCAGCTTCAGGGTCAGCTTTAGGGTTAGAGTCAGCTTCAGGGTTAGGGTCAGCTTCAGGGTCAGCTTCAGGGCTAGGGTCAGCTTCAGGGTCAGCTTCAGGGTGAGGGTCAGCTTCAGGGTCAGCTTTAGAACGGAAACCAATGTTCTGGGTTTTGGACTGTTGCTGGAATAAATGAAGCAGAAAGACGTCAGAGACCAAAAAGTTTAATTTAAATTTAAGGAGAAAAACTGCAGCTTCATCCAAACATTTTATTTGGCTGCTCAGACATTAACAGACGATTCTGCTTTTAAGATTGAAACATTTTTTTCTCGTTTATTATGAAAATTAATAAAGAGGAAACTTTTTTTCTTTATAATCTATCAGCCATGTTTCTATCTAGAACTCTGACAGTCTGCATTTCATCCGGTTCAGAAAGAGGAAAACTTTATTGGTTCAGGGGGACACATGAAGCCCCAGGAGCAGAACAGCAGTTCAGGTTTAGCAGAAAAAGCTTGTTGCCATGGCAGCCATGACAGCCAATCATTTGTCCCGCTGGTTTCATGGTCGCTTCCATCTCCAGCGCCGCCCTCTGACCTTGGTGACCCAGAGAGCAGAGCATGAAGCATGGTGGATAGAACATGGAGGTCCTTGGATCTCAGGGAGACGTCGTGATGATGATGATGATGATGATGAGGAAGAACTGTTGGTCTCATGGCGCCCGAGCCAAACACAGTGGAGCCGCTCAGCAGCGACTCCTGCTGGTGGTTTTTAAACCCTTCCAGTTTCTGTTGGTTTGGTAAAGAAAAAACTGATCTGATAAAAACATTTGAGTTTCTGTCTGAAAGGTCGATTCGATTTCCAGAATAATCCAAAGAATATCTAGAAACTACATCTATGTTTGTGATGAAGTCCAGAATAATCCGAGTTTTGCTGATGTGATTGAGAAAAGTCGGTCCTGTTTAGTCGATGACTGCCTGATTTATTCCACTTCCTTTCTGTGAATTCTGAAAGTCAAACAGTCCAGAACCCAGACGGCCAATCAGGCGTCAGTGTGCTGATCATCACACAGACAGCCAATCAGGCGTCAGTGTGATGATCATCACACAGACAGCCAATCAGGCGTCAGTGTGATGATCATCACACAGACAGCCAATCAGGCGTCAGTGTGCTGATCATCAGGGGTGGAGATGCTCCACGGCTTCCTGTCGCATGTTTCTCGCCTTGACCTGCTGCAGGATTCACTCTAATCTGCAGAGTTTCCTGCTCAGACAGCAGGTCGACACGGATCTGCACATTTCACTGGAATTTATTAGCATTAATGTGTGTTCATGATAATCACTGTTTGTTCAAACACTGTAGGAAGGATTTTATTTGTCTTACTTGAAGGAAAAGCATCCATCCATTTTCTGTCACTTTATTTAATTTGTTTTTGTGCAATATCTGCTGCAGTATTTTGCTGTTCAGCTACAGTAAGTATAATATTTATGTGAAAGTCTGTAAACCGTCTGCTTTACTGTTTATTCCACTTTGTGTCCGAATGATCTTAGAAAGAATCAGCAGAAGAAAGCACTTTATGACAGGAAGCAAAATGGACCAACTGCTAATAGATTCTGCATTTCTGTCATATTCAGATTTCATCCTTACAAATCTTTTCTTCTTTAGGGGAAATGAAAGCTGCAAAATAACTGAATTGATTTGTTGGAAACTTATTTTAACATCATTTAGTTCAGGTGAACAGTAGTGAATTTAAAGCAGGAATAAACTCCTTTTTTCGCACCGTTTGATTTTCATTTGACTTTTAATTGGATCTGAATTAAAAAGTTTGATTAATGAGTGTAAAAATATCCAAACATCTGGGTTCTCGTTGAAAACAGTTCCTGGTACCGTGGACCGTGTTAGCTAGCAAACATTTCCTGTTAGCTTGAGCTAACAGCTGCTTCATCCGGCTTGAATTTGTTTGGATTTCTTGTTCCTTCCTGTTTTAAACTATTTGGATGCTGCTGAAATAAAGATCCTTAGAACTGATGAAAAACGGTGTACCTCATTCATTTTAAAGTACTGCAGCCAATCACCAATATTCTCTTATTTAATATCCTCCAATGCAAAGATCTCATTGTGTCCTCAGAGAGCAGCTTATTGTTTAAATGAAAGGTTGTAATGGTGTTTGGGTCAGATTGTGGGTCCAACACAGAGAACCTGCAGCAGGTAGAAGCCTTAAATGACTCTGGCTCTTTGGCTGGAAGGATGAGAGCAGAAATGATAAAAGGCAAATTGCTTCACATTTTAATTGACCTATTAGAACCAACACTTGCTTTGAAGAGGGTTAGGGTTAATCCTAACCCTCTTTAATCATCACACTGATAAATGCAGATGGTGCTCCTATGTTGCTCTCCATGGTTCTACAGAAATGACACTTCCCTCAGGCTGGAGCTCAGCCTCCATCCTTACTGGAGTCATTATGGGAAAAATAGAGAGATTTGGATTCACCAATTGTCCAAAACAAGCTTCTGCAGGTTAATAAGGGAAAAGGTCCTTCAGCCTGAAGTAAAGCTGCTGTTCCTTCAAAGTGAGAGGATGTCGCTGCCTTGTTTCTGCTCAGAAGAACTCATGGAGGCCTTTGTTTGGGCTTGACTTGAGAAACAAGGACAGAGCAGAGAGAGAGCCACTGTTCATAAATGGAAAAACATGGAACGGTGTTTCTTTACTCCCCCAGAAGGGACTACCTAGCCCAGGGGTCAGCGACCCAAACTGCTTAAAGAGCCACAGTGGACCAAAAAAACAAAAAGTAAATCTGTCCGGAGCTGCAAAAATGTAAAAGTCTTCTATCAGCCTCGTAAGGCAACACGGGCTCTAAGCGTATTAGACCACGATAGGAGAGGACAATGTGTTCCCATCCCTGCATCAGAGCGCAACCTGTTGGATCTATGAACACTTTTCTATCCTTGCAACCAAACTAGCAGCAGTAGTGGAGTTTGTAGATGCAATCTACTTCTCAAATCTATCTTTGCTCTCCTCTAATTTATCCAGAAGTTCTGCAATCTCACGTTTTCTCTCCCTCCTGCAGATTTAATCTTCCCTGGAAATGCTTTTTTAAATGATTCTTTTTATTTTTTGCTAACCTCTCATTATAAAGCAAAAATGCAGGCAATCCTTCCTCACTGATAATGGAAGCAAATGATTCGGATCATTCTTCTTTAAATCCTTTTTTCTCATCAGCCATTATCCTTTTTTCCCTCTGGGATCCACGGCCAAGTTCATAAAGCAGGGCAGAGACACAAGCAGGGAAGGCTACAGAGTTTAAGGTGGAACAGATTTACTGGGATATGCAACATGCATGTATATCTCCAAGTTTACCAGAAAGTTTAAAAGGAAATCAATATGCTTTAGTTATAGTCAACATATCTTTTTTAATTCAGCAAGACTCAGAAATAGCTGTGCCTTCAACCCAGAGACAACCAGACTCACAGGACACAGACTGAAAATACCTGCAAGAATTAAAGCACAAATAAAGTAAAAATCCATCCATCCATCCATCCATCCATCCATCCATCCATCCATTCCTTCATTCCAGGCTAACAATGGAACCAAACGACCCATTCATCCGTTACCATTTGCATGTTTCCAAGCAATACAAGGCCTGGTCTATATAAAGACTCAAGCCCACTGCAGATCCAGACATTTGAATAGAGAAAGCTTCCTGGAGGGGAAGCAAAAAATCTTCAAATCTTGGAAACCAAGTCCAGTCGATTTTTTTGAACTTTTATGGAATGACTATGACCTGGATGACTGAGAACCTTCACCAGCTTATGCTGGTGAAGGTTCTCAGTCATCCAAGTTCAGTTCAGTTTATTTCTGTAGCACCAATTCACATCATGTCATCTCAAAGCACATTAAAGTTTACCAGATCATCCAGTCAGATTGATTCAAAGTTTTCTATCTAAGGAAAACCAGCTGATTGCATCGACTTATTGACTCTTCAGCAATCCCTCACACTAAGCATGCTTGTAGCGACAGTGGAGAGGAAAAACTCCCTTTGAACAGGAAGAAACCTCCAGCAGAACCAGGCTCAGTGTGAGCGGCCATCTGCTGAGGCCCACTGGGGTTCAAGGAGACAGAAGCAGACATAGAAAAAGACGCATAGATACAAAAGGCAACTGTCAACCAGCTCCACAGGCAGCTGATATTTCTCTCCAGGATGGAGTCACAGCCAAACAGGAACAGACCAGATGAAGCTACTATGAGGAAAAGCAGAGAGAGCAGAACGTTAGAGATTGAACTAACAGATTCTGCAGAGTGGGAGAATAGAGATAGAATGAAGCAGAATGATGAAAAAGGGGTCCCTATGTCCTCCAGCAGTCTAAGCCTATAGCAGCAGCGTTTTTCTATAACTGCAGCTTATATTTAATATTAGTGTGTATGTGCGTATTAGTATGGATGTGTATGATGGTTTTCCAGCCTTCTTCAAGGATAGAGGAAACCTGCTGAGTAAGACGAGTTCCTGCTGATTGTCGCAGATGAAAAAAGACTTTAAAACCTGCAGCTCTAAGTGATTTATTTATTTGGTTTCTGTTGTTGGCTCTCAGCAGATTCTTTGTAGGTTATTTTGTCATGAGTGCCTTGGTCTGAAGTGTGAAATAGCACTGCTGTTTGTCCTCTGCTTGTATTGTTTTGCACTTATGTGGAAATCAGGAGGCGTGTCTGTGTGGCTCTTGCAGCTGAGACTGCATGTCGTCGCTTTATTATGAGAGCCCAGTCTGTCATTTACATTTAGATGGCTGTTATTGCTGCTTGGCGTGACTTCATTGATGGTAAAAATCTCCCCCGCTACTGTCCCATCAGAGGGTAATAGTTTATAGCTTTACCAAATTTTTTTTTTTTTTTACTTTTCTCAGGATATGAAACTGTCATTTGTCATTATTTTGGTTCTGTTTCCATTTTCTTTTTGAGTTTTCATTACTTTTTTCCCCATTTTGTGTTATTCTTGTTGTTTTTGAGCTCTTATGTATTTCCTGTGTACCCTCTGTTGCCTGCTTGTGTCTATCTCCTTCTAGCTCCCTTCTAGAATATTCTGTCCATTAGAGGTGGATAAAAGAATCTGCTCCCAATCTGCTGATTAGCTTAGTCTTTGTTCAGTCTCCCATTTATACTCCTCCTCTTCAGTTACTCTTTACCTCTCATGTTTGACTTCTAGATTTTAGTTTTCTGTATTTTGTTTGTGGACTTTTGCTTCTGTTGCCCTTTGAAACTGTATTAAATCTTCTTGAATCCACCTCAGCTCCCATCTCTGCATTTGGGTTCTCTTAAAAACCTCCAAACAAAATATGACCATTTTTAGGAAGCTGTAAATATTTGTGTTGGAAATAATAAACTTTTGAGTTTTGGGCAGTCGTGGGTGAGTGGTTAGGGTGTCAGACTTGGATCCCAAAGGTTACCGGTTCGACTCCCGACCCGCCAGGTTGGTGGGGGGGGGGTAATTAACCAGCGCTCTCCCCCATCCTCCTCCATGACTGAGGTACCCTGAGCATGGTACCGTCCCGCCACACTGCTCCCTTGGGGCGCCATTGAGGGCTGCCCCCTTGCACGGGTGAGGCATAAATGCAATTTCATGGTGTGCAGTGTTCACTTGTGTGTGCTGTGTCACAATGACAATGGGAGTTGGAGGAGTTTCCCAAAGGGCTTTCATCTTGGCATTTCATCAGCATGGCCTGATCTGACTTTCTGAAAGTATCTCTTTTAAAGTACCTACAATTATTTATTTCCAAAATAGATTTGAGTTTGAAATAATAATTTAATGTAATGTATACTCCTGTAGCACCTATATAGAGAAAAAATGTCTGCTGCTGTGACTTCACGTGTTGTTTAGAGCAGGCATCCCCAACCTTGGTCCTCAATGCCCGCTGTCCTGCAGATTTTAGAGGTTTCTCTGCTCCAGCACAGCTGATTTTAATTTATAGTTGATTAACAGGCTTTTGCTCTACTGCAATCATTATAATCAGCTGTGCTAAAGCAGGGAAACCTCTAAAACCTGCAGGACAGCGGTCCTCGAGGACCGAGGTTGGGGATGCCTGGTTTAGAGGACGAATGTGGTCTGAGGTAAATAAGGTTAGAACACCTAGAGATCAAGACTGGAATGACACGAGCTGAGTAATGGAGACTATAGGTAGATAGAGGAAGACTTGTTTTACCGTATGGAATAGAAAATGATATTTAACATTTAAACTTATGTGATCCTTTTAGATTTGTTTTTATATTTTCAATATTGTTTATTCAGTTAAGCTTTGCTAAGTTATTCTGTATTGCAGTAGTTAGTCTGGGTTTAACTTTGGAGCATGGGTTCCATGGAGCATCAGTCGTAAAATCAGTTCTGAAAGCAAGTTTTAATGTCTTGCTGTAGTGATTCTTGAATGAGTAAATAGCTGACTAGATAAGTTTGTTAGTTAACATAACTAGAATTACCAGGATTGTCATTTTCTCCCTCCTTCTGCCATTATTAATTGTTCTCTCACACCCTGCTGCATTCTGCTGCCTCCTTCTGCTTGTAGATGTGGCTTCTAATGGTTGCTGCCACTCCCCCATTTCACCCTCACCGCTGCTACTCCCACAGCCAGACTCCAACATTTCCACAACACAACCACCTTCTCTCATGTAAATGCATCTTTAGCACTTTCCACCTTCAGAAGTACATCGTCGACATTGGCTGGAGGCTGCTTAGCATCCTGTACTGGTTTGGACAGATCACAAAAACCTCTCCCACATTCAACCTGCTAAACAACTCAACCTCTGTCAGTCCTGCTGGTTGCTTTTTTTCTCCCGCTGTAACCCTTTCATGCATTAATCATGATAGTATATGTTATGATTTTTTTACCAAGTGTTTTTATTACTCTTTAAGAATGAAAAAAACATTTTCATCAATTTTTTTTAAAATATACTTTCTTTAGGGAGTTGCATAATGTCCAACTTAGTGGACACATAACTACTTACAAATTTTTAATAACACAGAATCAATTCTTGGAATTTATACTT